TTTTAGTTTTTTTTGGTTTTTGTTTTTCGTTTTGTTTTTTTTTGTAGGTTTTTTTCATTATTTATTGTTAAATTTTCAATATAAAAAGAAGGTAATTTAATTAATTAGTTTTCGGAGGATATCCTCCACGTCAGGTTTTTTAACTTTTGTTTTACCATGAAACGGTCCCGTAACTACCCGCAGCTAATTCTTTATTCCTTACAGCTAATCTTTGTTCCATTTTGGGTTTGTCCATTACTTTCATGCTTCATTTATTCAAACTGAATTTTTCAAATTCGATATTTTGGCCGTCTTTATTCATAGATAATTGCTTGTAGGATCAAATCCGCTTGAGAATAACCGAAGCCTAAAATATGATGTGTAACACATACACATTATTGTGTATGCTCCAAGTTTTTTAGATCACTTTCGAGGTAATCTGAATTATAACTATACTCGAACATGCTTTTAATTTCAATATCTACAGAATATTGAGAAAAGTATCCATTCAAATCATCAAGGTTCTTAGTCAGATCTTTGTCTACTTTTAGATTCGGATCAACGTAGTATCTTAAATGATTATCTGAATCAAATGTTTCCCAATCTAGGATCCAATTATCTCCGTTCTCCTTACCGTGCATGTATGAGTACACTATTATTTTTGAGCTCATATTGGTGTTCAATATTTTGGAAATCAGGTCATAGAAATGACCAATATTTATTGCCTTTGTGCTAGCATAAATGTAGCTATTATTGTCCAGTGAGCACTTCTTCCAGGTTGATGTAAATTGGCCCGTTGTCTTGTCTCTTGGTCTCTCCATTTGGGCCATTTTTTTAACCAAATTTCTTTTGTCTGTCGTTCTTTGCTTCTATTGTAGATGTTTCCTACCGTTTTTAAGCCGTACTTAAGCAAGGGATTGTAATGCAAACACAAGAGTGATTATTGGTTACGTGTGGTTTATTCAAAGATTGGAATACGAATGGTTACAAACATCATACTTATGCTTATATTCGATGCGGCCCGACTGACAAGTGAACGTCAGTCGAGCTACGTCAAATGCGTACGATCCACTGGAAGTCATTCCAGTTGATCGTGCGCCCTCTCTATGTGACTGGCCGCGGCTATGCCTGTGGCCATACCACAGGATTCACGGAATATTGTTTGGTTTTCACGTTTTATAATCGCTTGGTAATTCGTATATGTAATAAAATTCGTTTTTGTTTAGTTTAGTTTGCTTTTGTATATCTCGTTCTCTGAATCGTAAGTCGTTCCAATTTTCGGCAAAAACTGATGATGGGGTTTTGTCTGGCTCGTCAATATCTACAACTTTTACCAAGACATTCCACCACAAGGTGTTCCTGTGTCCACTAATTTCCGCACTATTTTATCAGTTATTCACTATTTTCTGCACTATTCTCTGCACTATTTTATTAGTCTATTCGATTATTTGGTTTTTCGGTTCTTTTGCCGCTATACAAAACTCGCCATATGCTAATATCCGTTCAATGTGCGCTCAAATACTCACAGCAGACAGGCAGAGTAAAAAAAACATGTTTGTGCCTGTATTTCGGCTATGTTGAACATACTACTACTACGACTTCTTCTTTTTTTTCGACCGACGAAGATCTGCACAAAGCAGAGGAGAAGTTAGTGCGCGGTGGCGCACAAAACTCATCTTTGTGAGAAGAGCATCGCACACGAGCGCTGTAGCTCTCACTGAAATGAGTTGTACTGTGAACTTAGTGTGCGGTTCTTAAGCCCTGGTGAGAGAGAGAAATACAGCTGTCAAAAATCGGTATTTTATTAATATGTTAATAAACAACATATTTTAATAATTAATAAAAATTTTGAAACACCATATTTATTAACGTTAATAAATTTAGTGCATTTTATTAACATATTAATAATTATTAGTATGGTAAATTTTCGGTTATTAATATGGTGTAGATTTTATTAAAATGTGGTTATTAATATGTTGTCGATTTTATTAGAATTTTAATAAAATCGACAATTTTTTATTAGAATTTTAATAAAATGTGGTTATTAATATGGTGCCGATTTTATTAGTATTCTAATAAATTCGACAACATATTGGATTTCATCCGATTTTACCAACGGACGAGATCATGTTCACATCAAAGTCTATTCAACACAGCGTTTAGATTAAGACAATCATTTATCACGACAAAATCTCAAAGAAAAACGAGTCTGGAAATATTCGACATGTTTTTTGTATGAAACTTTTCTTCACAATTTTTTTGAAAAGTTTCATACAAAATTCATGTCAGTTTTTGCCAGACGACAAAATCTCGATGTAAAATGAGTCTGGAAATATTTGACAGTTTTTTGTATGAAACTTTTCAAAAAAATTGCGAAAAAAATTTCATACAAAAAACATGTCAAAAAAATTGTGAAAAAAAGTTTCATACAAAAAACATGTCGAATATTTCCAGACTCGTTTTTCTTTGAGATTTTGTCGTGATAAATGATTGTCTTAATCTAAACGCTGTGTTGAATGGACTTTGATGTGAACCAGAGATTGAAATAGCCGGTAGTTCTACCGGAATCCGGTAGTTCTGAATGAAAAAATGCAGCTCTAAATCCGATTTCCGGTAGTTGAATTTTGAATATTTCTCACACAAATTTGCCCAATTTTCAGTTATCAAACGAAAATAAATGTAATCTAAAATGAATAGAAATGAAAAAATCGCTCCATGAAGTGAAAAAACGTCACTTTTTTTATCTGATGCGGATGATTTTATGTATATACTTTAAATTCTGACTACGCAAAATCGCCAGTGCCAATGACTCTCAGTATATAAGCATACGAACAGCTGTTGGTGATCAAAATAAACAAACTTCTTTATTTCTTATATAGAACATTATATTCTCAGAATAAAAAAATGGAAGGATTGGATTATTATTCATGTTGCAACAATCGATTATTATATACAGTTATAATTATACGATTGCGTTGCGATATGACTTCAAAAAACGAATCATTCGATCGGTTTGATTTCTCGTCGCTGCGAAAGTACAATGCGAACGACAATTTAGTCAGTTTGGAGTCATAAATTGAATAATAAGCATCGCTCTCAATTGAAAATGAGCTCAAGAAAGAATAAGCCGAAACATTCTGGATCAACGATCGACACATTTTTTCAACGCCCGGGTAATTTATGTCGTAATGAAATATCACTTCGAAAGGGTTATTTATTTAGTGTTATTACTTAAAATAGGCTCTACGACAGTTGAAACGCATACCTCGCAAAATGAACAAACTGATCAAGACAAACAAGTAAATCCAAGCGCCGATGAAAGTAATGCCGTTCAAAATTCCAACGAAAAATCAATGCCACATGATGAATCTGAAAGTGTTTCAATTGATAATCCTGATGAAGCAACTGGTAAAATTCAGTGTTGATTTTTCTTATTTAGTATGAAATTTATTCATGGCAAAATTTTGCCTTCAAATTAGGATCCGGTGCAAATACTGCTGATATTGCCGCACACAGTGTTGCAGATAATGCTACCGAAAATGCATTATCATTTGAAGAACAATCCAGAAGGCATTTAGAGTATTTCAGCGTTATTAATTAATGGCCAATCACATTGGAAAGCTGAGTAATTTTTGTAGTAATTCCAAATGGCTCACTAAACTAACAATCGTCAAATCGTTGCTCTGGAGTTTCTTGTGACATCGCTGAAAAACTTGCAAAATATCCGCCACACAGGCAAGCATTTGGAATTACTACAAAAATCACTTGACAGTTTGAAAGGTGAACCACTCTTAGGTGGGTGGGAAGGTGCTTTGGAGAATGAAATTGTCGTGAGTGAAGACGAGAAACACTATCTCAAAGAAGTTGAACTTCAGGAGAGTGGCCGAACACGAGCACAACAAAATTTCGATCCAGATTCTCTACGTGAAAGCATTATCGAATCTATCATTGAAATCATCAAAAATCGTTTTGCTTCAGACGATGAATTGGTTCGCATCATTGAGCCTTTCATTGATTTTCGTGGTGATGCAAATTTAAAGGAAGTACACGAACTGTTTGAAAAGGATTTAGATCTATCATCTCTCCATTTGCAATACAAAGAACTCGTGGAAATGAAAACTCAGCTTGAACTTGGCTCGAATTTATTAACAAATATACATGTGCTATTGCGAAATGCAGAAAATGCGTCTAACTTTGAAGATGTTTTGGTTCTACTTTGTCGTATACAAATTTGCACGCCACATTCGGCAGACGTAGAACGATGTATAAGTGCGAATAACGCCTTGAAGACAGTACGACGCAATCGTTTATCAGTTGACACCGAAAATAAATATTTATATATATACTACAATATGCCAACGCTCGAGCGTTGGTCACCGCGACGTGCGATTGTTTCTTTTTTGGGCGATAAACAAAGACGAACACGAGCAACAACTGAAAAAGCAAAAGAAGCACCATACTTCAAAGGAATTTTTGATGTGCCAGATAAGAATGCCGAAACAAATGATGAACAAACATTGAAACACAAAATTTTTTGATGTGTACCCTTATTTTGAAATATCAATAAAATAATAAAAAAAAATCTTGAAAAATGAAATCCGGTAGTTCTGAATTTTTCTTATTTCAATCTCTGATGTGAACATGATGTCGTCCGTTGATAAAATCGGATGAAATCCAATATGTTGTCGAATTTATTAGAATACTAATAAAATCGGCACCATATTAATAACCACATTTTATTAAAATTCTAATAAAAAAATTGTCGATTTTATTAAAATTCTAATAAAATATCGTTATTAATATGTTGTCAATTTTATTAGAATTCTAATAAAATCGACAACATATTAATAACCACATTTTATTAACGTTAATAAAAAATTCATTTTATTAAAATATTAATAAATTATTAATATGTTAATAAAAAAATACGTTAATAAATTATGGGTTTATTTAATTTGCACAGTTAATTTAAAAATTGCCCAGTTAATTATAAAACTTAACACAGATAAAAAATTAGTGGGAATGAACCGTGCATTTTGTGTGATGAACCAATGGGAAAATTTCATCCGGTGACTTCAGTTGAATTGGGATGTTGTGGCACAAAATGGCAACACAGCCAATGTCTTCGGGAACTAGTACACAAACAAAATACACCAATGTGTCAATCGTGCGGCAATGAAGAAGTGTTTCGTTCTAATCTACAATCAAATGGAATTTTCGTTCCAGAAAGGTAGATTTGATGTTTCAACTGAATTATTTGCAAAAATTATTTTGCACTCATTTTCCTAAGAGAAAATAATGAGGTTATTTTTCATTTATTTTCAGAAATGCTGTGGAGTTAGAACAAACGATTGATGTGCAATGTACTCCAGATTCAGGCAATGCTGTGATTGACCTAAATGACAGTCTTTCATCATTGGGAATGTCTACACCCAATTCATGCGATACACTGAGCGTGGCAACGGATGTTTCTACACAAAGATCACAAAGGTAAAACATTCAAAAATTTCTCATTGGCATTCGAATCATTATTTCATTTGAAAATCTGAAACTACTGTCCAATTAAATCTCATTACTACGTCAATCAATACATGTCAAGTTATTCAATTGGTATTTCTATGCATTTTATTAAGAATATTTCTTTTTGTTTACAGTATTGCTGGATCGGTCGATGACCAAGATGAATCAGAAGAGGAGCCACCACGCAAAAAGGCTCGGGTTCATGCCGATTATGTGTTTGTGAGATCTTTCGACAATACAAAACAAGCAATGGACTTTATAGAACGTGAAAAATAGGCAAAACATTATTCGAGCACCTCTGAAGATGGCATGCGTCAGACGTTAAGGTGTACCAAAGTAAAATATCGTGGTCCGCAATGTGCGGCAAAAGCGTATTTGCTGTATGATTCACAAAGCACGCAAATTCATTTTTACAAGTCAATTGCTGAGCATGATCATGAGCAAAATATCAATGCAGTGTACGAAATACCCGAAAATACGAAAAAAGAAATAAAAAACATGTACGATCTCGGCGTTACACGGCCAAAGCGAATCCTTAACAATTTGATGCTCAGACAAATTGAATTGCCCGATAGAAAGAAGTTTGATAGTTTTTTGAGAGAGCTGAAGATGGAGAAATATGGCGAAAGTAACATAAATTTGATTGATTTGAAGAATTGGTTAGAAGATAACGTAGTCATACCAATCGAAAAAACCAAGCCATTCATCGTGGACTGCAAACTATCATTAAATGAAAATAATCCGAGCTTCAAATTCTTTGTTTCAACCAAACAGCTATTAATCTCAGCAACTAAAGCTTCACATGTACATGTCGATGGAACGTACAAGTTGGTCTGGCAAGGATATCCGATCATTCAAATAGGAACTACTGATATGCACCGAAGTTTTCATCCGTTCGGATTGGGTGTTTGCACGAGTGAGACATCTGATGACTATACATTTATTTTCAGTGCGATCAAAAAAGGCGTGAAAGATGTGTATAATATTGATTATCATCCAGAAACTCTGATTCGTGACAGTGCACACAGTATTCAAAATGGGTTCGAAGCTAACTTTGGCGACGGTGCTATGGGGATCATGTGCTGGGCACACATGCGACGAAAAATGGTTGAAAATATGCCAAAGTTCATCCACAACAAAAAGCAACGATTCGAGCTCTTGGCAGATCTTGACATGTTGCAGCTAAGTAAAAACAAGGAAACGTTTGACAAAGCAGCCAATCTTTTTGTTGAAAAGTGGAAGACTATAAGTACTGATGCCATGGCTTATTTTGAATCTGAATGGCTACGAAAGAATCGATTTTGGTACGAAGGTGTGAAAATAAATATACCGAGCACAAACAACGCGGTTGAAACTGCAAACCGGCTTATTAAAGATGAACACACCTTACGTGAACGTTTCGATTTGGGCCAATTCAGAACAGTCCTGTTTCAAATGATGGAATCATGGTCGCTTGCCTACGTCTCCGGTGAAAAAGAATTTCACAATCACCCCGAGATTGAATTGAAACAATGGACAGATGCATACGCGTGGGCGAAGCGAAATGTGTGTATGAAAGTTACTGAGGGAACTGATCGTGTTATTTACGAAATTCCAGCTGGTACCGTGGCCACAAACACTAGAGCTCAAAATGACGAATGGAAATGTTTTGATGATTTCAAACTAAATAACTTCCAGTTCAACTATGTTCATTTCCCAGCACCTTTGACAAAAAACAATTGGCAAGAAGGAGTTTGTGATTGCAGTTCATTTTTCAAATTTTACATGTGTGAACATATTCTGGGTATATCCCTTCGCATGAAGTTTGTTGTGGCACCTGATGAAGCAAAAAGTCTGCCATTAGGTCAAAAGCGAAAACGGGGTCGTCCAGCACGAGCAAAAGCTGCTTTGGTTGTTCAGTAATTCAGGTATTTACATGAAAAATTCCAATAAGTGACTTTATCTCTATCATTAATCTTGTGGATTTGATTTTTCTTTTCTCAGATTTGTGGCACAAAGTGAAGCTAAATCTATGCCGTTGAATCAAGATGCCGAGCGCGATTAAATTTGGTTGTCCAGGAATTTTTAAGACTGACTGTGCACCAATTATTTGGTCGATAAAATATTTAATAACTAAATTTTTTTTATTTATTTACTGAGCATAAACTGTTATATATCTGTGAAATCTATTAAACAACTGTATTATCTAGTATGTTAACGTAGCAATCGTGTATAAATTGCTGAACAAAATTACAATAATTAACTGAGCAAGATAAAATTTGATTTACTGGGCGTTTTAAAATTTAACTGTGCAATTAAATAGTATCCATAAATTATTAATATGTTAATAAAGTGACAGCTGTAGAGAGAAAGATAGAATCAACAATACATGTTAAAGCGGCGTGTTTTTTTCATTTCATTCAATTTTAGCTGCTACTTTTGTCACTCTGATTCCACTTTAACAAAAACGAAACTTCATTTGTGTTCACATTACACTCTTAAAAGAAAGATACTCACTTGGGAAAAAATGTCTCCAAAAACCTTTAAAATACCGATAAAAAATAATAACATATTCTTTTGTTTGAGTCGATTCATTTTATTATTATTTTTTGATAAAAAACTGTTTATGAATGACATGATTTTTTAATGTGATTTGCTCGAATGCTGTTGAAAAATTGTTCATTGTTCAATTGCCACGCTGGAACACTTCGTTGGGATCAACACGCATCAAATAGCATTTCAGCAAGTATACCATATTTCGTGAGGCGTTTGCATCACGATGCCAGTGTGTGAATTTAACGAAAAATTAATATTTGTTTGGTTGCAGCGGTTGTTGCGACAATGCATTCATCCTAGGGGAATTTATCATTCAATGCAGTTTGTATGATTGAAGTCTTTTTCCAAATTCATACAATATTCTTATGTTTACACACAGGGCTGGAATTCTAAGAATTCCACCGAAATCGTTCGGAATTATTTTTTTCGTACATAAGACCATATTGGAGTGAAAGAGAGAGATTCTACTATTTTTCAGTTTCCCACCGGAATTATTCCGATAACTCAAGGAAGAGTGGATTGTAACTCAAGGAACAGTGGATTGTGTGAGAAATAATTCCGGTGGGAAGCTGAAAAATAGTGGAATCTCTCTCTTTCACCGCAATATGATCTTATGTACGAAAAAAATAATTCTGAACGATTTTGGTGGAATGACTTAGAATTCCAGCCCAGATTCAAAAGATTCACTCAATTCAACACATTACTGTGAAGGAATCATCATGATTATGATGAATCTGATGAATCTCGTGAATCCAAATTGAAAATGGCGACAGAACTATCAGTCGCCATATTGGATTTCAGTAAACAAAAGATTCATAAGATTAGTAAGATTCACACCATTCATCAATTGTTGGTAAGGCACTTGTACGTTTCGGCTAATGCGATAATACATTTGTCGTGGGCCAGCTTGACGATTTTTTGCGCTCAATCGGAGATTATTCAGCATTTTTACCTTTCGCCATCTCTGTGGAGGTGGTAGAATTGGATTTCCATTTGGTTGGCAATAAGCACAGTAACAGTCTCGCTTCGACTTGTATTTTCCGTTTGGTAGTTGTTTTTTGGCGCACAAACTGAGCGAATGTCATTCGCTTATGATCCTTCGAACACATTTGGGATGAATTGTGAATGTTCATCGCCAACGTATAAGTCAAAGTTCTCGGCAATTTCAAATGCTTCGATAACATCATTTATTGGCCCTCTCGGATTTCCTTTGATATGGTTGTTTACCCCAATTGGGTTTAAACCCAAATTTACTGCACATCTTTCACCAAGTGTCACCTCTCGCACGATGTACTGCAGCAGAGTCTGTTTGCGCTGATGTTGGCGAAATTCAAGACGAGCCATATCTTTGTCCCTGAATGCGTTAGTCCCTTCATCGAATAAACGCAATCGATTATCAATATATCGCATGAATTCGGGTGATGTAGCCGACGGAGTTACTCCAAATCTATCATCAACCTTTTTGCGGTTTTGTTCTTGCTTCAACTGAAAAGCACCGATAATTCTCTTCCTTTCGTGGACGTACGCATCATGTCCCATGAGCTTGTAATAGTCTTTTGTTGAGAGATAGCCAAATGTGTCGCCCATTCGATTACGGTGTATTCCATTGAATTTAAAATGAAGTTTCGCACCCCGAAAAATTGGTCATTTAGTATTTTTTATTCACACTTCGAAAGTATATATTGATATCGATGATGGGGTGACACTGTGCAATTCAAAGACTCTCAACGCATCAATCAGAACGTGCATTTTTCATGTCATGTTCCTAACCGTATGTTTTTTTTTACGATTATACGGTTAGGAAAAAATTGAAATAAAAAACGCACATTCTAATTAGTGTATTGAGTCTGTGTTTTGCATAGTTTCAAACGGATCGTTGTTTGCACAAGACATCATGCCAAACTCTCAACCAGCGACACAAATCGAACGCAGAATATTTGAGTACGAAAAATTTTCACGCATTTTTCACAAAAAAGACAATTTTAAAACTCACTTCGAGCAAGTGCATTTGAACAAAAAAAAGGAGTGCAAAATGTGCAAAAAACGATTCCACAGGTGCATTACGCTGGCCCCCCCAACATTTTGTGCTGGGGTGCGACCTATTCCATATTTTTGTG